TATAGTATGAATTCCCTAGGTGGACCCGGGCGTTCCCGTCGATGCGGACGTCATGGTACGCGTGTCCGTGCGTGGTTTCAGCATTCTTCCCACGGTCTGGCAGGTTGGAGAAGGTCATTTTACGCACTGAAATTGCGTTAGAGTCGCAGAGCTAATCTAGCATGATCAGGTGGGACAGATAAGCCGCAGCGTCGAGCGCTGCCAAGACAGATGGTGCTCTATTCGCACAGCCTGCACGTGCTAGTTGTGGTTTTGCATGCCCGCAGTGCTTGACATCTAGTTCATTGACATCTGCCATTACAGCGCAATGTCTAACATGCCTATTCGATATTTTAAGTATAATGAACTGTATAGCTAATAACTAACTGCACGGTGGCTACGCATCATCAGGTGATGTATAAGAACAGAAAGTGGGGTATCCCGTCTACACCGTGACGTTATCCTAGTATGGAAGCTCAGCCTTCTTCGCATCAAGTACACTGTTTTTTTCTTCCAAAAGTCTCCCGTTCAAGCCACTCTAGCGATGGCAGATCCCTTAAGTATTGCTGCAAGCGTCATTGCCGTGGCCGGCCTGGCCTACTCCAGCACCCAGACCCTCTACCAGACCATCTCTGCCATCCAAGATGCGCCCGAAGTCTTCGCTCACTTGAAGATCGACATCGAGACACTCAACGAAACCATCCGTTCCCTGCAGGAAGAGCTCGAGAAGAAGGACGCCGATGCGGGCCTCTCTGACGCGCAAAAGTCCAATCTGCGTGAGATAAAGCCTACTTTGGAAGCATGCCATGGGGCTTGCGATACATTCAAAGCCAGGGTTGATAGAGTCATGCGTCATTCCAAGGATGGTCATACCAGCTTGCGGGACAGGCTCAAGCTGCAGTTCCAGGAAAAGGAGATTGGGGGCTTCCAAGCGCGTCTGGCTAGCTACAAATCCACGCTTGCCATCGCTCTTGATTTCTGTACCCTGTAAGATAGCAGCCTGACCCACTTCCTTGGTAATTGCTGAAATCGTGAAGCAAAACCGCTTCGGATAACCTTGATGCAACAAAAGATCTTGAAGCGAAGATCGAGGCAACCACTGCCCTCCTCACAGGGCAAATGCAAGGCCTCCAGATCGGCATGCAAGCCATTCTTGATGGAAGCTCCGTGGTCGAAGAGCCCGACGATGCCGGTCCTCGGAGCCGGCTCACGAAGACCCAGCAGTCCGAGGTTCTGCAGGCCATTGAGCGGCAAACGGTTGCACTCAGCCACTGCTATCGGGCTTGCATGGCAGCATTCAAAGAGACAACGAAGGCGACAGGCCACGAGTATAAGTTTGTGAAAGCGTCCAAAGAAGCGAGGCTACTCATGGGCGACCTAGGCAGTGTGGCGGGGGGTGCGCTACATAAGTACAGCAACATCGAGGTTGATGGAGGGCATGTCGTGGCTGGGAACATGGAGGGCCAATTTGCGAAGGATTTCTTCAAGTGAATTGAGATCCTTGCTCGTGAAAAGCCACGCGGGGCTAGAGGAGCAAATGGTTTCGAACTGGGCGGACGTAACAGGCCATGCCTGTGGTCACGTAGAATCACCTCCCCTCCCCAGAAAAGATCTCGTACTCTTAGACCACGTCGCTGAGAAAGTGTTGTAGCTGCCTCTTCGGAGCCTCTGATTCTCTGATTAGGCATCCCAATGTGACGATATACACTCTATACCCGATCTAAGCTGATTAGTAGCCACATGTCCTGTTCTATTGTTAGCGCACATCGTTCTTCGTCGCTGCGCGGAGCAGCCATTGCTTCGCGCAAACACCGACGTAAAGCAGCAAGTAGCCATGAACCTAGCCAGCGAGGCGCTAGAATAAGAGCTCCTTCCGAATGTGTGTGGTAGCATCTCTCGCACTACGGCGTGGTATCGTAAACATGGACGACCGCCGAGAAAGCCCAAGGCCGAACGCCAGCAATACCTTTCTCCGTCAGAAGAGAAAGGAGAAGCAGGGCGATGGACTGGCACCGGCACGACATCAACATATATGACAGGATCACCCAGTGGCTTGAGGTGATTGAACCGGAGCTTCATAGACCTAACATTGTGCCAGAGAATGAATATAACATGGACGAGACTGGGATCATGCTGTCAATGCTAAGCTCTGTTAAAGTTCTTATAGGTAAGGATGACGTGCGAGACTATAGAGGTGCTGGTGTTAAGCGGACGATAGTCACAGCCGTCGACTGTGTGTTCGCAAGCGGTGAGTATCTGAATCCTATAATCATCTGGCCAGCTTCTACCCACCAAGTAACTAGATAACGTACCCTACACCAGGATGGGTCTATTACTGCTCCGAGTCGGGCTATAACGACTCGTACCTCGGCTTGCGATGGATCAAATAAGTATTTGATCCCCAGACAAAAATGCTGCCAAAGAAGCCAAAGGCAAGAGAAAGCGTGGTCGACAACCGAAATGCACTGGACCAGAGGCAGAAGCAAGTGCAGACAGGGAGAAGCACGGTAAGAAACGCAAAGGTGTTGCATTAGATCCAGATGCGTCAGAGACTTGGAATGCACCAGTAGCGCGGATGTGGTAAAGGATAGACGTGCAGGCGGCGACCTGTTGCGCACAAAAAACATATAACTAGAGACAATAATGATAAGATCGTTAAGGTATAGCTTGTGATGACCGTCCTGCTTTAACGGTGCGGATAAAGGTGCAAGCAACCTCAGCCTGGTCTTGGCGTGGTGTATCAAGCCGTTCTGAGCACTTCTAACTGGGTCATGTATATGCACAGCCATGCAGCAGGCTTGCTCTTAAACGACTTCAACCGAGTGTTAATGTTACCCTTCATCAGCCCTATAGGCTAGCACTGCAGGGCGACGGCGGGGCAGACCGTGATCGCAGCCAGGTTCCAGCTCCAGCTCCCAGCTCCAACTTTAAATACACCTCTCGCGGTCGCCCAACCCTGATCGCACATGGCCTACCTTGACGAGCTAGCCAGCGGGAGGAACGGCGAGCGTGCCCCGGGGCACCGCTATGAGCACGTCCGCGTCAGCGACAATGCTAGGGCCCATCTAGGCGACACGTACCACAGCGACACATACCACGTCGGTGAGTTCAGGCCCAGCAACCCAGGGATACAGGAGCAGGACACTAAGCAAACAAATACTTAGGGCTCGAGGACCCGTTCAGTCGTCTGCCACATGCCGAAGACGCGCCCTTTAACGCATACAGCAAGCAGCACGAGCCCAAGTGTCTGCCCGACACGCGTATCGACCTCTTGAAAGTCATACATAGCTGGGCGGATAGGCAAGACCAGCGCTGCATCTTCTGGCTGAGCGGGCTGGCGGGGACGGGCAAGTCAACGATCTCGCGGACAGTGGCGCGCAGCTACTACGATGAGAAGCGTCTGGCAGCCAGCTTCTTCTTCTCGCGCGGTGGCGGCGACGTCAGCCACGCAGGCAAGTTCGTGACGAGCATCGCGGTGCAGCTTGCGCACAACGTGCCAGCATGTCGGGAGCACATCTGCGAAGCAATCGCAAGCCGCCGCGACATAGCCAGCCAGTCCCTGGGCGACCAGTGGCAGCATCTCGTTGTCCGTCCACTGTCACTGCTAGGGGGACTGTCCTCGTATGTTCTGGTGGTCGATGCGCTCGACGAGTGCGATAACGACAACAACATCCGCATCATCGTGCAGCTGCTGGCTGAGGCTCGAACACTCACGAGAGTCCGGCTGCGAGTGTTCCTCACAAGCAGGCCGGAAGTGCCGATCCGCCACGGGTTCTACCAGATCGCGGATGCGGAGCACCAGGACTATGTGCTGCACAACATATCGCCGTCGGTCGTCGATCATGACATTTCTGTCTTCTTGGAATACAACTTCGGCCTTATTGCGCAAGAATGCTGCCAAGCTGCAGACTGGCCAGGCCAGGTGGTCATCAAAAAGTTATGCCAGAGCGCAAGCGGTCTCTTCATCTGGGCTGCAACCGCCTGTCGGTTCATTCAACAAGGTGGTCAGCTTGTTGTTGATGATCGATTACGGACCATTCTCGGAGTTGGTTATTTTTCGGAGGACTCACCTACGGATGGATCCTCAGCCGAGGATTCCCCTACGGATGACCCGCCTGCGGCCTTACCTGAAAAGCGGTTGAACAAAATATACCTTACAGTCCTCCAGAGCCCTATTCGAAAGTACAGAAAGCAAGAAAAGAAGAAGTGGTACAGCCTGATCAAAGAGACTCTTGGAGTGATCGTACTCCTGTTATCGCCGCTTCCTACATCTTCGCTGGCCAAGTTGCTCCAAATTCCTGTAGAGAGTGTTCATCGAAAGCTATATGAGCTGCATTCCATCTTCAACATCCCAGAGGATCATAACCAACCGCTTCGCCTCCATCACCCGTCGTTCCGCGACTTCCTGCTCAACAAAGACCGATG